TGAAGGAGGAGCTGAGCTTGCAGAGAGCAAAAGGAAGCCAAGGCTGCTTGCATCCTGCTCTGGAAGGACACAGACTTCGGCTCGGTCCACCACGTGAAGCCATGGCCAGTGCTCCTCTCACTTGATCTCCTGTATGTGTCTGAGTGTGTGTTCATGTGCATGTGTGTAAATGGAGCGGGATGGCTACACAAGCACCTGCATTGGCCAAACCTGTGTGTGTGAGTGTGCAGGACTCAGAAAGAGAGAGAGGCGGGCGGCGGGGGGAGTGGTGCACTCGCCCTCTGTATCCCTGGGTTTGAATCCTCCGATTTAACCAATCACAGATCCTAAACACTTGGGAAAAATAAAAACAACCCCTGTCCATCCTGAATACACAGAGTGCTTGGTGAGCATCACACCCTAAACCACACAGCACTCCAGATATTTATACAGCACCTGCGTGCCACGGAGGTGTGCATAGGTTGTGTAAATGAGGCTGCATCACAGAGGGAACCAGAGCATCCAAGGAGTGGGATTCTGCAGGGGTCCTGGCACCTGGCCTCAGGACACCAAGGCATGAGTGTGATGTCCCAGCCAACAGGATGAGCCTGGTGAAGGGCTCCGGAGGACGGCTCTGCCAGTGTGGCATAGCTCTGTGCCCCTAGCCCAGGGTCCGGAACTCACTCGAGCACATCGCGGTTGAACTGCTTCTGCCGGTTGCCCAGGAACTCGCCTATCATCTGGCGGCTCAGGCCCTTGCGCTGCAGCAGGAAGTGGGCCACGCCCACCGGTGTGTCAGGCACAAAGCCTCGCTCAATGAGGTACTGCACACCCTTCTCAGGCTTCCTGGGAAATGAGAAATGTGCTCAGCTCGGTGCCCAGGCCCTGTGCCCAGGGGAAGCCTCCCTCCTGACTCAGCCCTGGGCTTTGTCCTTGTCCCTCCTCCACAGGCAGAAGTGCAGAAGTGGCTTTCACTTGAGACCCTGGGCCCTGGGCATCCTGTCCTGCTGGCCCCAAGCCTGAAATGGGCAGGTGCTGGGGTAAAACCCTCCACCCTGAGCTGCCCAAAACTTGTGCCAAGAATGGAC